TGCTATTATGTCGTAAATCACATTGATATTTATCTAAAAGAAAAGATATTATTTACAGATGGTTTATATTTCATATTCTATTAATTACCTTCAATGGAAATTTTAAAAGTATTAATAGTAGTAATCTGTGGATTAATAATACTAATAAAATCCGGGTTATTAATTAACTGATGAAATTATTTTGATTGGCCTGTTACACAAATAATAAATATTATTAGTATGATTCGTAAAAAGTGGATTTTTAACCTCCTTTATATGTTAAATACGCCTTACCTTATATTACAGTAACTGTTAATAAGGGAGGCAGACCGCATGCCTTTGTGTTTTTATTGCCTTTGTGGTATAAAAAAGCACTTTACATTTATATAGGTATTTCGAGTATTCATCCGTGAACTTTATTATTATGTATGAAAATACTTAAAGATTTGCATGCAAGCGTACAGTCTAAGCAAGTTATAAGCTCCTTACAGCAACAGGCTTTCGTTTCTAACATATTAATACGCTTGGCAAACTTCGTGTGTGATAAAGAGCTCGATGAAATCAATGGATAAATCTGTATGGACTAGGGACTAATAACGTTATATTCATAACCGATTAGGAAAGGAGTAGTTTCGAATTTTTTAGTTTCTTTTTGGATATGCAAAGGTATGTTCTATTTTGGATATGTAAAGGTATATAATGCAAAAGTACGTATACCATGACTAACTGTGCGGTTAGCACAGATAGTGCGAGATGTAGGTACTCGCAAAGACGACTCTAAATTTTTGCCACAAAATAACTTACTTTGTAAGCTGTATGTAGCTACGATAGAAGTCAAAAACTACTATACCATCCGTATAGTAGTTTTTGACTTACATTAAATATTGAAATACATGTTTTTATTCATTATAAATTAGAAATAAATACATATATATACAAAAAATATTTCATTTTACGATTAATATACAACTTTATATGTATTACACTATGTGAGTTGACCCGCAAAAAGAAGAAGAGTTCTATTGCAATTTTCAGAAGATCCTTTATATAAATTAAAACACCGTAGACGCCTGCTGACGCTTCCTTGAGGAGTTAAAACATTCATAACTATATTATTCAATTTTACTAATTATATTGGCCGTCAGCTAATTTACACAGTATTCCAGTTACATAAAAACTTCACAAATATCTGAATATTCAAATATTTCGTGTCCTTTTTATTACATAAAATTAATCAAGTGATCAATTGCGATCGTGCTCCGAGCGCCTGCGTGTCGCGTGTGCACGTTGGTGTTGCCGATCGGGCACGTGTGATACCATTCTATTTCTTTTTGATTGCTTGCCAAAGAAAAGAATATATTTGGAGTAGAAATAAGGAACAGGGAAATAGGTAGGTGCATAGAACAAATATTTCTGTGTTCTGTGCATAGAGGCAAATATATAGCATTCAATAAAACATAGGCAAGGAGAGCCGCAATAAATTACTTATCCCAGTGCACAAATAATTAAAATTTAACAAAAAAATAATCAGTAATAAATATTTCATATATATAGAAAATATTTATATTAATATATAATAGTTATATTTATTAGTAAAATAATTTTTTTATTGATTGTTTCTAAACAAAATGCTAAATTAGGAGTTGTTCGTTGCCTTGTAATCCTTGTAACATTCTAAATGTGATCGAATTTTAAGTCGTATGTGTACTTATATCTAATTTAAATATAAGATAAATATACAAATATAATGTATTCAACTTTATCAATCTTATTCCTTTCAATGCTCTAGATTCAACATAGAATATGAACTTAATTTCATATTTAGAGATTTGTTATATTTCAATGGCATTATGGTTCTATCAATCATTACGATAATATTTAAAACAGAAAGGATAGGTAATTTTTCACTTTTAATCTATGTGTTCCGATCGCGCGTGGGAAACTGTAGATACCTCATTTCATACCCTTTTTATATTTCATAATAAATATATATTAAGGACATGAAACGATAAAACAAAAAAAATATATTTATGAATTCGTACGAAATTCTCGAGATGAGAATTTAACATGGATGTAGTTTAATTTCAGTGTATATATATTCTATAGATGAATATATATATATATTCCATAGATGAATATATATATATATTCTATAGATGAATATATATATATATTCTATAGATGAATATTTTTTTCCATCATTAAGCACTTGTATGATTTTTTTTTATTTTAATAAACGGATACAAAGCTTACTCGTTAATAATGTAGCCTTATACCTATATGTGAAGGAATTTTTTAAATCTTTTAAATATTTTTTTTTATTTATCCATTACAAATAAATAACAAATATTTAATCATTAAAATATTAGTTTATATGTAGGTACATTAACCATTAATAGGCACTACTGATTTAAGTACGAAACTACCCAACCTCACGAGTAGTGCCTGTCAGCTAGTCTAAGTTTGTTTGTTGCTTGTTTCTGTTTCTAGTACCTTTGGGAATCTTAACTTCATGCCATAACGGCCCTCATTGTATGAAATGTGAGAGAAATATCATATTATAACAGTTACATATAAACGAGCTACTTTAATATTATTTGATAACTATATTTTCTCTTGTTGGAATATCTATTTAACATAGTTTTGTAAGTGGTTATTGCCAAAGCGGATTAATTTATTTGACTAATACAAAAACTCAACATGCTGATAATGATTATAATATCGTTATCGTTATAAACTAGTTATTTTACTATACTACTAGAAAGAGAATGTGACAAAATGCCTTCACTGCTATACGATGTCATATCGTAAATGCCGGTTTGAAGAAAAAAGTAATATTGGATATTTGTATATATAAATATAAATTTAATTAGAGTGTACTTTCCACAATCAGCCTCTTATCTGAATTATTGTTGTACGAGACTACTAAAGTAGCCAGACAAGCTTTTCCTAAATAGCATAGAAGTCTCCTGGTATTTTCACAAGCTTCATGGATATTTGTATAAAAGAATAACTTGAAGTAACATCCACTGTTGTGTGTTTATTGTAGCTTGTTTAGTGTAATAATTGTAGGCTAGTATCCTATTTATGAGGAGAAAATTCATAGACGTTAATAGCTTGTCAGGATCATGTTATATAAAATAACATGCAGGTCTGTAATACAATACCTACATCAAGGCCTATCAAAACTTTATCCAGTTTTCATCAAATGCAGCAGACCATATACATATCTAACGTGTATACTAAAGCATTGTTTCAAACATTACAATATAGATACGAACTGCAAGTTCCTAGGGGTACCAGCTGTCAGAGACCAAGTTTATGTGTTGCCAGTTACTAAATTTTACGCCCTGACGGCGAAACGTGGCTTGGACCAAACTCAGTCGGAAACTCAAAACCTGTTTTGCTCGTTTGTAAGTCTAGAATTCACTTATTTATTGAACTTCCTTGCATTGTATATATGTATATACTCTCTTAGCTATATAAGATAAGCTTCTTACTAGAAATTTAAAATTTAATGAAAATGTTCTTCAAGTAACGAGTCCCTTCAGTTACAGTTAATTGAAATGTCTAGTAACGTAAAAAAGTTAACATGTCACTACAAAAAAATAGTATCCAAATAACTGTACTGTATCGACAACAAGTTATATGAAACTTTTATAGTCGAAACTCTGTTTCCGACATAATTTTAATGGGAACAGCTACCTATTTATTGTTGAATAAAACTGGACTCTCATAGGGAAATCATTCTGAAGCTATTAAAACTTGCGTCTAATTCTGAACAGTAGTTAAAATTATAGTTTTAAAAAACTAAACTCAATATGTTTTAATGCAATTATTAGAACTACAATTATATACAATAATTAGGTAATATTTATGATGATAACGATATAGACTGCTTGCATAATTATCTTCATTTATTAGGCTTACTTAAAATTATTAATTAATAAATAATTAACCAAAAACTGATCCAAGTCTCTGAGTTGACTTCGCTGTCATCTGTTTCAGCAACTTGCTTTATAAATTGCGTTTCCATTGAAGGGTGAGTGAAATATTACAGGATATCACAGCGAAAATATAGAATATAGCATAACATTTTGGTCCTAATGAACTAAAGAGCTTATTTGTATAAGCCGGCACAGCACTTGCAATTCTCCTTGTGTTTCTCCTTGGTGTTCATGGGCGGCGGTAATCACTTAACATCAGGTAAAAAAGACGTCTATGGTGATGTTCCCATAATAGATGTTGATTGCCAGTTATCAACAGGTGAGCGTTAGCTCGTTTGCCGTCCTAGTTACAAAAATGTAGAACCTGCAACCATCGGAAGTAAGACAGTGTGCTAAACCGCTAGACTACTGCGATTTTCGAATGTATTACCAAAATAGATATATATTATTAATTCACAAAATAATTAATCTAATTCTAGAAAGAGAACCTATACTTAGTTTGGATTAGATGAAACTTTCCGCATGGTCATAAAATAAATAACAAAACACCTAGCATCATCTTGAAATTAGACGAACTTTTATTCTATATCCTTTAACGATTATTATAGTATTGTTAGTAAACATTCTAATACGTACTAGTAATGCGAAAACTTCTAAACGTTATAAATGGTTTAGAAAATAAATCTACCCTGTACATGTACTGTACTGTTATTACTAACTAAACTGTGTAATAATAAAAATATTAAAGAGTACATATGGTGATATATGGCTTTGTGCTTCGCTGTGTTTCTTTGCTGTCTGTGGGATGACTATTATGACAGATTTTTTTTTTGTAATACATGATATAAATAAACGCATATTGAACAAACAATCTTATTCATAAACATTATTTTACATTGTGTGAGGAATCGAACTCGCTACCATCGAGAACAAGACGACGGGGCTAAACCAATTTATTCATGTATTTTAGTTAATAGTTAATTTCATTCAAGTCTAAGTCAAAGAAGAATGAATTTCAAACGTGACTGAAGCTTAATTTAATAAAATATAAGCATAATGCATGAAAAAACTTACCCAAGAAGCTCAGCAGCAAATACGTGCACAACTTCATCTTCCCGAGTTTTCTGTAAAAGAAAACAGGCTTTTAATTGGATTTGCTTTAAACAGAACCTGTATAGTATCATGGCTTATCTTGTATACTGCACAATGTTTTATATAATCGTATTTACTAGCTGACTCGGCAATAGTTGTTTTGCCATATAAAGTATTTGTCGATACCCTTATCCCCTAGGAGTACCTCCAAAATTTCATAAAAGTCTGTTAAAAATGTAATAAAAATCCCTTTCAGTTTAAAGCCCACCAACTTTGTAAATAAACACGAGATATATATATATATATATATATTAGAAGATATGTGCTAGTGCAAATATTATATTTGGTAATGTGTACAACAAATTATAAATATGAAAATGAGTTATAATTCTCTGCTTAATATTATAATAATATATATAAAAGTCTACAGGAACTGGCACATATATGTGGAAATTTTTAAAAAATATTGTTTAAATAGCATAGAGTATACACATAGTCCTTATATGTGGAAAGTGTCCACTGGATTAGGAATATAGATAGATAAATCGTTTATCTGATTATTATAAACGACACAAAATTACACTTTTATAAATGTGGACATTACATAGGATTAACAAGTTTATGTCACTATACGAGTATGTATGTGATCCGTAGTAATACAAAAAGGTCGAAGCTCAGGGTAGAAGATTGTTTAGAGAACAATATACTGATTTTCAGCTTCAACCCTTTTAAGAATACATAATAATAGGTCTATAAAAATACAAACAGCCTGTGCGGTTTGTATTATTGCAAATTACTTATTTTCAGTAAGTAAAACATGTTCGTGGTATACTTATTGTAATTTTTAATAATAATATGCTACCTTATTTTGCGTGTAGGTTAGATATAGAATATAGAATTTTAACTTTAATATTTAATATATTTAAAAGTTTTTGTCAGAAATGTCCTCTTAAGTATTCAGTTAACTCATATCTTTTGAAGAAGCGCCGTTCAACTTTCGCAATGTACCTACGTATCTGTACTAATGTTATAAAGAGAGAGAATTTTGTTATGAGGAAAGTAAACTCCGGAACCGCTGCACCAATTTTAGAAATTCTTTCACTGTTTGAAAAGCACATTGTTCCAAAGTGATATAGGCTATTTATACATATATTACCATATTTCATAAAAAATCATAAAGTTATGAACACCCGGGCGAATATAATAGATAGTCTGATTTATGTGAACATAGTATCAGACATAACACATATCATATTACACCTACAAAACAATTATACCACTATAATAACACTTACATTAATTTGTAAGTACAAGTAGGTATAAATATAACTGGTTAGTGATAGTCAATTAATATCACAACATTTCAATATGAGACTTTACATTAAGAGCCTGTCGTAAGAGATAGATACATTAATAAGAGCGAGACAGCAGCTCAGACGAAACCTATACAGATTTTATCTAATTCGCATATTGTTCGGACGGTCAGGTTCATGGTTTGGTGTGGGTATCGAGAGGTAGTTTAATGCAAGATCGATACAGCGCGCATTAACAACCATTAATGTTAATCAGCCGGCGTCCAACCGGCAAGGAATACGCAGCCCTGTCCCCAGCGCTTACCATAGAGCTACTAAAATATGTAGTAGAGAATTTGGCAAATTGACAAACGAAATTTAAAATTGCTGAAAAGTTTTTATAGGTTTGGTCTGACAGTAAAGCTATAAGAATAAAAAAAAATAAAGGACATGATACATTTAAATACTCCAGATTATAATCAATAGGTACTTGTTTCTATATAAATACAAAATAATATGGCATTTTATTGTAACGATTTCCGTTACGATATAGAACAAACAGAGAATTAAATCCTAAACACAGAATAGTTTAAAAATATGAAAATTGATACAGAAACTACTAAAATATGGTATATCGTCATCGTCTACTGAACCAAAAAATAGAGTGTAATTGCAAAGCTACACAGAGTATGAATTTTGTAGAAAATGAAAGTTCATATGTATATATATATACCTATAGAGAGCATCCTAGATAATCCCAAAGTTAATTCGCCCTCCACTACATCGGATTTAAATATACAAATTTGCTCCATATTACTTTGATTAAGCTGTGGAAGTATTTTATTTATTATATCCTAAATCCAAATAAACATCACTTGTGTTGTATACGTAATTACATGTTTTCTTTTCCACAAAATTTTATTTGATATAATATTTTCACGAATTACTTACATAGGTACTTTATTTATGATACCTATATAAATAAATAAAAATACATATGAAACGACGGTTAAAAAAATACATACGCATTTTCAAGTTTTCGCCAACAAACTGTCAAACAGTTTGGCAATAATTGTATAAATAAACTGTATATGTGTAATGCTTGTAAATAAATACATACATGGATATTACAAGATTATTTATTATTGTATTCATGTGTATGATTAATTGTACTGATCTGGGAGTTTTTTACCTATTAGATCAGTGCCTTTGCAAAAAATATATTTTAGTATTTGTATCAGTTATTTAGTAGCCTTAAACAAGGTATATTATATTAGTCGGAAGAATTAATATTCAGTTTATCGTACCAGTTATTTAAATATAAGTTTGCATTCGAAGTTTTTACTATATTTTCATAACTTGTTAAGTTTCGTTAATCTGTGTAAGTAGTCATTACTTTATAGGCAATGTCTACGTTCAAACGTTGGGCACAGGTGTTCCTGATCTGCCAACTTTTTATGGTATTCCACGTAAATCGACTCCGCACTAAACGATTCTCGACTTGCGAAGCAGCCATAACCCTTGATGTATAGATATAATAAATCTATGTTACTTTACCTTTCGCGCGTTACGTAACTTGTCTGTGACCACGATATGCGATATTATATTACGAACGTTATTTTTGTGTTTACTTTGTCGAGCCTTTCTTTAATATATGGAAAAATAACATATATAAATATATGCAATCGCTAGGCGTCTGGGTGTTATAAGATTTTGAATGACTAAAAACTATGCGCCTTGAGGGGTCATAGTGTGCCGAAATTATGGGGTCATCAATTTATATTCCCCATTCTTGCTAAATTGATATGGAAAACGCCTATTTTCGGAGAAACATTAGTTGTAATTGAAACTAAATAACTAATTAGAGTCATGGAATAGCTTGAGCATTCTATGATAGACTCCCACAACAATAAACCGGCCTATAGATGATTTATGTGCATAGCATTACCTACATGGCGTTTCTTCTGTCTATAATTGGGATAGTATGCGTACCACCCTACCTTAGTCTCGTCTCCAAAGACCAACTTTTTCGTGCTTAACCTTACCTAATAGCCCCTAGAGTGAAATACAGTTGTGAGAGCGTTGATCGTAAAAACGAACGGTAATACAATGCTGTTCACATTTGCCAATAAAATGCACAAGCATGTTCAAATTGTTGACATAACAATTGTCTAACCAACTGTATGTAGACACGACAAAGATCATTCTTATAAATGTACGTGATACCACTATTCATTATAGGTTATGTTTATGAAAAAAAATGTATATATAACAATGGGCACCTAAAAATATCGTCTTCGCGTTTATGAAAAAATATTCGTAGATATATAGGTACACGACAGCAAAATGTCTGCCTGTATCTCTCCAAGCATATTCTCCCGTAGGCAAATTACGTCGCCTAAAAATTGCCATATATAAAAACAACGAGACCATTGTGGATACGTGCTGCGAAAATTCGTTGGGAAATACTAGGAGTGTAGAATTAATAGCATTTCATTTCTCACTTCAGACGCACGTGCCGCCAAGCGGACGGCGTTACACCGACGTATACAATGTGGTACAATAAATTAATATTACTGGCTATTTAATTTCAATATTCAAATTATGATTAGGTAGGTACATTGCAATGGCTACATTTTCGTTGTAAATGAAATTTATTTACAACAATTAAACTATTTCTATTGTTTGTTGTAGGCGTATTGATGTTTGTAATATTGATAATAAATATAAATAAAATATTGATACTGAATATATTTAACGGTGACTCCGCAGAATTCGAGATGAAGTGAGATTAATAAAAAGAAGCAAAACAATACGGATATTGCATGCATGACGTTCTATTTTCAAATTGTACAATTTTATTTTTAAATACATTATAAGGCTATTTACAATCGCAATCAACTCTAAGAATAACAAAAACCAATTCTTTATAGTTTTGTTCTGTACGTTTCCATTTCTGTTTATGTATAGTATTATGTAGAGCTGACTAGGAGAAGTATACCAAATTGTATGTCGAGCTTTCTGCTTTTATGTAGTGAATGTTATGATGATGATAACCACAAAATTAACTAAAATCGCAAATGAGCTTACCGTCAAACGATTGCGAATAGATTAATGTTATCTATGGTCATTGTATTAAAGAAAACGTTTTATATTAACTTTTTTAAGAATATTGTTCGGGGTGTTATAGGTACAACATTTTTACCATTACTCTTATTATAGATAATTGTTATTTTCTTAAAGAAGTACTATTTTAGTATGACCTACAATATCTAATCTACTGCCTATTAAAACATAAACAGTACTAAATTTATTATAGTACCAAAAAATAAATAACTGCATAATTTTGTTAGTGTGCCCAAAGCGATTATTAATAAGGAAGTCGACGCAGCCCTGTCCGTTATTTCTGCCTCCTATGCCAAGCTTTGAGGTTGCCTTTGATATAGCAAATAGCTTTAATTTAAACTATCATATAATGATATTAAGTAAAACTCCATAATACAGAAATATTTACTGTTAAGAAAATCGTCGTATAGCAGATTAACAAGCAACCTCGCTATCCATTTGTTGCTGATTACAACAAACGGAACGGTTGCGGAAACTACAAGTATTAATCAAGTAATCGAAATAATTAAATTATCATTTTTATTACATGCATCATATACATACCAAGGCTAATTCAAACAAATATGAGAATTAATATAAATATTTTTAGTACGATAAATAGAACCCCATAACCT